AAGGAGTATGGTTAAAATAACTTTCTAGTATGTTTAGTTAAATTTAACTATAAAATAAAGAGCATGATTGTTGATGCTCCTAAGCCCGATCATTTTCAGTTTAATAGGTTGTAATACTACATGTCTTGATACCTGGCAGGTGCCAGGTGGTATTCCAGTATCACTGACATTAATCACCTCATATATCTGCTCTCCCTCGTGGATTGTCCCAAGAATGCAGCTCAAACTTTCTTTTTGAAGCAAAAGGAAGTTCATCTCGTAATCTTAAGCTAATTCTTAATCTTCTGAATGCATACAATTAGAAATGAGATGATTAAGCTAATTTATATCTGCTCTAAGCTAATTAAGATTACAAGATGAACTTCCTTTTGCTTCCTTTTGCTTCAAAAGGAAAAGATGAAGTTATAATGATAGCCCCAGTGCTTCAAAGACTATTTTAGAACCGTCATGCTATAAAACCAGCACCTGGGCTATTTCTAAAAACAGAGGAAAAAACACGAGCCATAAAACTCACTCTGTAACATCCTCTCATCCTGTAAGTGCGGAATGCAAAAACATATGACAGAAACAAAACATTTTATCCACAACGCAGACTTTTCTGCTTCCTCATTATTTCAGCTGTCCCTATTTACAAAAAGGAGCTGTGAACTAGAAGGATGCTGAAAAACACAGTTGTTTGGTTTTGGATTATCCTCAGCTGCTCTCTGGAGCTTTATCTGTAATATAGTAACATTTAAACATTAGACTTACAAAGAGATATATATATATATATATATATATATGGCATAAATTGAAAAATAATAATAATAATCATGCAGTTTTTTGGTCAATGAAATACACCTCTAAGGACAAACAAATAAACAAAGTGAAGAAAGAAATAACTGAAATAACATCACAATTTCTTCTCTTCTTGGATAAATATTGTTTCATATCCAATTTGAGCATGCAGATGCTTCTTGTTTTCCATTTAAGCCACAACCAACATTCAGTTATGTTATTAACAGTTAATTCGTAGGGCGGCACGAATCCATCTCGTGGATAGAAAATACAGTTCTTTGGCACAGTTTGTACCAAATTGTAATACAGGAGGAGGGCTACTAATGTTATAAACAAAAAAACAAGAATTAAAGTAATAGTGCAGTACTTCCAATGAAATCGTAAAATGGAGTATGATTCACAACCTAACAGATAAGAAGAAACTAATTCCTCAGCAAGGATCTGACAATTTGTAATGAATCAATTTAATAAGAACATTCCTCAGCAAGGATTCACAAATTACAAAATCCCTCCCTCCCAGATATACATTGCTCCCATGAAACAGTAGGATGAAGGAAACTATGAGAAAAACATCTAAATCTGGAATGAAACTTGAAGGAGATTTTTATTTAATCAATTGTTTACTAATTAACCAATATAATGGGATATACTTAAGCGCATGATAGGTTTTCATCAATCAGGATGAATACAGTACATGTTGTTGACAGATACTGGTACTCCTTAGTACTGAATGAAATTTGACTGAACATATCTTTTATATTTTTGTTTACAAAGATGTAACAATGATTTATACTTTCATGCAGACTCACATGAGCAAGTTCGGATCACATAGATTTAAAATGAATGTAGAATTGAGGGCAAATATTTGTTCTGGAAATGAATTCAATTCTGGACAGTTAGTCCCTAAAACTACAATCTTTCAATGCAGGACAAGAGGAAATTGAATTTTTATACAAACTTTAACAGGTTTAAGGTCACAATCCATGGCTGTCTTTAAGATAGATGAAGTTAAAAGGATAAACAGAGGTTTACCTTCATGTGTTTTCTCATACTTCTGTTCCGCGTCAGATTCTGAAAAGCCAGTTCTAATAGCTACTTGAGTGCATTCTATGTTCATGCATATCTCAGCCCAACACAAAATACTGCTAAATTCAAGGATGAGGAAATTAAGAATTGGAATGTTAGGTTGATCTTAGAATATCAGCAAATCAATTTCTCGCACTCACCAGCGTGCTTGAACTCCTGCACTTCCTTAAAGCCCATCCATGGCTTCACGCAGACTTTGGCTTTGTAAAGCTTCTTCTTTCCGGCATCGATGGCCTCGATCGTCAGATGGAGCAGAGTTCCAGCAACCACTTGATCCTCGATCGTCAGATGGAGCGAAGCAAGCGAGGTGTTCGGTTTCGAGGCTGTTCTGGGAGGCATGGGATTCGTGGACTCCGCCGAGAGTGGCCATGTTTTGGAGTTGGGAGGGATTTGATTCTTCTGCGAAGGATGAGAATGCAAGGAAAGGTAAGAAGACGAAGAGGTTGAGTTGCATAAACAGACGCAAGGAGGAAGAAGAAGATAATTTCGATTTCAATTTCGCCGGAGGACACTTGTAGGACGGATGGGAATTTATCTCTTTCGCTGCTCGGAGTCTTTTTGTATACGTGCACGTGTCGCTTTGAGTATCTATCTTTGCTTAGTAAGTAAGGGCCTATCCTATTTTGATCAAATTTTTTAAACTCAAAAACAGATTTGTCCCAAAAATCTGTTTGGTATGCCCATTTTTAAAAATCCAAACCCAAAAAAAATTCACAAACACCCCTATTATTTATAAAAATAAAATGGGTTAATGACCTAAATGGTCCCCCCAACTATCGCTCGATTATCATTTTGGTCCGTCAACTAAAATTTTCAATTCAAACGTCCTTAAACTTTTTATATTGTACCAAAATCGTCCTTTCGTAACAGATTCTGTCACTTTCGATCACGCGATGACCACGTGATTGAGTTTTGAAGGGTATATGCGACTTTTTGAAAAACCCTATCGCTCAAAACCAAAATCCCTCCAAAATACGTCCACTTTTTGAGAAGCCCTCTCATTTCCCGCAATAACCATTGAGTGGAAGGGATTCTAATGCGAGTTGCTGAATTGGTCGATGCTGTAGTAGTGTGCGAGTCTCTGAATTGGTGAAGTTAGTGTGTAATTTCAGTGTTAGTTTTGGAGTTCGAATTTGGGAGTTTGGGTTAGGGTTTGATTTTGGGGATTTTGGAGATTTTGGGAAATTCACTAGTTTCTGATAATGGAGTACAAATTCCGTTCGGGTGGAAAGACTCCCAAATACGGTAAGGGCTTCTATAATGCATTTTATGTTGTTTTTGTTTGGAAATGGATGAAATGGATGAGTTGTCCTTGTCCGGAACTGTGATTTCTTTATAAAGATTCTTTTTTCTGTGTTTGTGTTCGGCTTTTGGTTGTTTTATGTTTAAAGTAAGGGTAAAGAAATCGTTTTCTTGTATGTGGATGTGGATTGGATTTGGCTTTTGCTACATTGACAGTAGAGTGTAAGCTTTATGTCTGTGGTCCCTTGGTTGTGGTTCCTGTATGTTGAATATGGTGTTTTTTTTAAAATGGCTGTGGTCCCTTGGTTGTCCGGTTCACACCCAACTCAGTAATTGTTGCCCTTGTTGTCGTTAGCATTAACAACAAAACTATGACTTTAGAATAACATATTGTTGTTTCAATTTTGCAGCTAACAATGGAATGTGCACTCTAGAATCACTACAAGAAAACAGGTCTTTTGTGAAGACGAGTAGCTGTCACCTAAACATGTAAATTCGTCACAGTTGACAATATGTGACGCATTTTCGGCGTCACAAGGTTCGTCACCTATACCCCTTCACAGATTGTTTGACGTGACTAATTTACGATTCGTCACATACGGGTTCTATATGTGATGAATGTTTTGTCACATATAGTACCTTTGCACAAGACATCTTTCGTCACTTATTGTATCTATCGGTGACAAGCCGCATTGGTGACATTTCACAAGCGTTAGTGGGGAGTTGTTCCTCACATATTTATGAAAATTGTGGGGAGTTGTACCTCATATATTTATGAAAATTGTGACAGTGTACGTCTCACATATAATCTGACCAGCATTCAATTCAATTAAATTCAACTCGATTACTACCATTCCCCATTATATTCTTTTCTTGTATAATATAGCAAAATAATACATTCAAGATCCCCAAAGTTTCACAAGTAAATTGAACTCAAATTTCATTTCATTACACCAAAATAATTATGTTGTTTAATATACAATAGTCTTAACTACATGTTTTTTTTTCTTCTCATAACTACAATGTAATTTTTCTACAACTGAAATTAATGTTGTCCCAAGATGAAAAAGAGTTGAACCCAATTGCAAAAGATCCTCAATGACAACAAAAAAGAAGGGATCTTTTTGGTTCAACTATCATAAAAAAATAAAATGGTCATAAAAATGGATATAGAAGATATAAAAGGGCAAATTACCATTGGGGAAGAACATCAAGCTGTTTAATAGAGAGATAAAAGGCTAAATTACCATTGGGGAAGAACATCTTATTTATGGCTGGGAAGCTACACACTGCCAAAAAATATAAAACATAATACAACATTGTTAACATTAAAGTGAGAAGACAAATAGAATTAATGTTTGATGTCTAAGAAGTGACCATGGTGAGGAAAATGAAAGGATGAAAAACAGAATCCATCAAAGGATTAAATGTCAAGAAGCATGAAAAAATAAAAATCACACTCCTAAAAATGAAGGTGTACATACAAAGCATAAAAGCTACAAAAGAATCTTTCCTGTGGTATATAGGCAGAAAATATGGCCTCCATATAACAAAAATATGTATCACCTCTTTGTATGAAGAGGATCTTTCTTCCTTCCCACTTCTTTGTATTCTTAGCCATGTCTTTCAACATTCCATAAGCAGCTTCGCCACTAAAAAAGGAATGACATCATAAATCAGTGATCCGATTATTCGGCAAAAGAGAAAAGCCACAGAGAGAGAGAGAGAGAGAGATGCAGATATAATACTTCAGAATTAACTATGAATAATTTAACCAGTTAAATCAACAGTCCTTAAGAGTCCTTAAGAGTTTCAAGTGAAAAATAAAACAGTCCTTAAGAGTTTTAAGCATTCAAATCATAAAACTACCATGGGAGAAAGGCACTGCAAGCTCGATGCTCTCAAGCAGCGCCTTTGATGATCTTCACCACTTTCACGAGCAAGCTTGCATACTCTATGAACCAAACTCTCAATGGTATGCGTGTAAGTGCCAGCTGTCTGTTCAAAGATTGGGTCAATAACCAAGACAAGAGTTGAAAAAAATAAAGTAATCAAAGAATTTACTTTGTATAGAAAGTAGAACAAATCGTCCACATCTGACTCATCCATTAACAGAATAAGATGTGCCACAAGTAGCATCAACCATTATAAATCGGAATTCATTGTCTGCCTAAAGATTTGTGATATTAAACACTAATTAGGCAGATCAAATAACTCTCATTCTGCTCAGTGTATGCCAATAGCTTTTTTCAAGAGAAGGTAACTTGTGAATCACCTGACTATAGATGAACCTCGTTAGGGTTTGGCATCCAAGTATGCGCAGAGGATCATGCTTAGGGTTGTCCAGGAGCTCAGTAACCACACTCAGCAGACTGACTGCAAAATATGCCCTGAAAGATGCAAAACATATGCAATACAACACAAGAATTTTATGCAAAAATTAATTCCTTCTTTTTAACAACTTTAAAGACACTGCAGTGAAAAGAAAAGGAAGAGAGACAGAGAAGAAAATTTGAAGGACACAAAACAAACAATAATAAACCGAACTTTCTACTAAAATAGCATATATACAATACCAAAGCATCTCCTAAAATAGCACAAGTTCAATGCATAAGAAATATAAATGGTTCGTTGCCAAAATAAAATAGCACACAACTTCCACCTAAAAGTGGAATTGTGACTTGAATTTGGAATTTCCCAACCAATCATACAAAAGCCATACCTAAACAACAGTAGTTTCGTCCAAGAGATTAAGCTTAAACAGATCTTTTCTCCACTAAAAATCACTAATAGACTTCTATAACAAATTAAATGGTAAGAAAAGAAAAGGGAAACAGCTAAGACTTACATCTGCTCTTTACACAGGCAAAGCAACTTGTTGTAAGCCTCTGCAACAATATTGATGAATTTGATGTGCTCTAGTCATAGCTCTTTGTAACACCTATCTTCAAGATATTTGGCAATCTGTTGAAAAAACAGGAGCATGGGCAGAATTACCAAATGAAGATATAGAGGCACATTTCACTATTGATAATGAAGGGGCAGAATTGCCAAATGAAGATATAGGGGCACATGTGACAATTGATAATGAAGGGGCAGAATTGCCAAATGAAGATATAGGGGCACATGTGACAATTGATAATGAAGGGGCAGAATTGCCAAATGAAGATGAAGATGCAGATTCAAAAATTAAAGACAGTGACTATGAGTTCAGTGAAAATGAGGCAGAGGATAGGCCAACTGTTGGAGAGAATGTAGCAGATGAGGGGACTAGTCATGGTGCTCCAGGAGAAGTGTCATCAGATGGTGCTGACACGTCAGAATTTGACAGTGGAAGTGAGACTGATTCTAAGGGTAATGATAGAAAAAAGATAAAACTGCCAAAGTTTAAGCAGTATAGAAGAGATGTGGACTTGAAAAATCCCGAGTTTAGATTGGGAATGAAGTTTGCAAACAAAAAACTTCTGATAGAGGCTATCAAGGAGCTTGCAATTATAGAGGGTAGGAAAGTGAAATTGAAAAAAACGGACAACAGACGAGTTCAGGCTAAATGTGTGAAAGGGTGTTCTTTCCAGGTATATGGATCAAAGATTAATAGAGAGGAAGAGACATTTGCTATAAAAACTTTGAGCCTAGAACATCAATGTGGAAGAGTGGACAAGCTTAGGCATACTACATCAAAATGGCTTTGTGACAGATATGCAAACAAGCTGAGGCGCAACTCAGACTTTGATATGAAATCATTTCAACAAGATGTGTTGGAAGATTACAAAATTAATGTCACCAAACTTCAAGTTTGTAGGGCAAAGAAGCTAGCCAGAGATTTAAATGAAGGTACTTTCAAAGAACAATATGCTAGATTGTGGGATTATGCAGAAGAATTAAAAACTGCAAACAAGGGTAGTACAATGAAGATTAAAACTCAGATTGTGAATGGTGAGACAGTGTTTCAAAGGATATATGTGTGCTTGGCTGCCTGTAAGAAGGGATTTTTATAAGGTTGCAGACGTGTTATTGGTGTTGATGGTTGCCATTTGAAAGGGCCTTATCCTGGACAGATCTTGATGGCTGTTGGGGTGGATGGGAACAATGGTTATTTCCCAGTAGCTTATGCAGTGGTTGATATTGAGAGTAAAAACTCTTGGATTTGGTTTTTCAATCTTCTTATTGAAGATTTAGGGATTACAAATGGACAAGCTTGGGTAGTGATTATTGACAAACAAAAGGGACTTCTACCTGCCATTGAGAGAGTACTTCCATCTGTAGAGCACAGGATGTGTATGAGACACTTGTACAGTAACTTTAAGGCATCACATATTGGTCTTGCTTTGAAACATATATTATGGGCTGCAGCAAGAGCTACAACTGTGCCTTGGTGGGAGGCAGAAATGGAGAAGATGAAAAATGAGGATGAGGAAGCATGGAAGTGGTTGAAGTAGATACCTGCAAAAAATTGGAGCAAATCTCACTTCGGATCACATTTTAAATGTGATCTTTTGTTGAATAATTTATGTGAAAGTTTCAATGCAGCCATACTGGATGCAAGGGATAAGACAATTTGAGGTTCTTGGAGAGGATAAGGGTGTATGTGATGCTTAGGATGGCTAGTAGGAGGTCTGCATGTCAGAATTGGAGATACTCTGTTGGGCCTAGGATCTTCAAGATAATTGAGAAGAACAAGCTAGGTTCATCACAATGCATTCCTAGATTGGTTGGTGAGAAATTGTATCAAGTGAGCCACATTTATGGTGGAGAATTTGTTGTAGACCTTAGAGCAAAGACATGCTCTTGTAGGAGGTGGAATTTATGTGGAATACCATGTCCCCATGCAATCTCAACAATAGATGTGAAAACCCAATTGCTTATGTGGATGGTTGTTATAAGCTGGAGACTTATATGAAGGCTTATGAATAAGTGATTCACCTAATCCCTTCAATGGACCAATTGAGTAAATGTGGTCTTCCTCCAATTAAACCTCCACTTTATAAGCAACAACCAGGTAGGCCTAAAAGAGTTAGGACAAAGGAGCTTGGTGAGGTTGAAATACCAGCCCCCATCCCACCAAACCCTATGCCTCCAAATTATCTTGCCTCACTAGCCAAGCTTAGAAGGGTTTTCATTGAAATAAGATGTTGTGGATGTGGTCAAAAAGGCCATAATAGAGCAACATGTGACAGACAAAACAATGAAAACCAACAGGTATGACTGTGAGACACCTTGTTTAGTTCTATGTTATGGCGTACTTACATTAATAATTTTGTTATACATTTGCAGGTTCATGCATCTTCAACCAAATGGAGCAAGGTTTTTCTTCTAACACAGTAAGAGGGAGAGACATAAGCAAAGGGAGAGGCATAAGTAGAGAAAGAGGAAATGTTGCTCAAGCTACTGCTGACCCTAATTCTCTACAAAGTGTAAGCTTTGGTTGTTCTTGTGGTTTTAAATTGCAAAAGTCATTAGGAAGCTGAAATCATTTATTTTTTAGATGGCAAGAGGTAATAGAGAAGGAGGCAGAGGCATAAGTAGAGGAAGAGGCAATGTTGCTCAAGGCCCTGTTTATCCAAATTCACAAGAAAGTGTAAGATTTATTTTCTCTTTTTTTTTCAATTTTTATTGCTTATGTCATTGGAAAACAATAAAGATCAGTAACTTTTCCAGGTGACAAGAGGTAATGGACAAGGAGTCTTACCATCTTCACATATTGGTTTAGGAAAAGGTTTACCATCTTCAAAGCTAAGTGCAATTAGAGGAAGAGTCTTAGGAAGAGGCATAAGTGGAGGAAGAGGCTTAGGAAGAGGCTTACCATCTTCACGATCAACTGTAGGTTTTTGTCATTTGGTTCATTTCTTACTCATTTCACTAATTGCCAATTTTTCAATTGTTATACACTTGATATTACTACATTGTTTAGGTGGCAAGAGGAAGGGGACAAGGAGGACCAGCTTTGGACAACATTCCCCATGATAATAACATGGCCTCAATATAGGGGAAATTTTTACTAAGGTTGTCCTATTTTGTGTATTTTGGGATATGTAATTTTCTGGCCAGAGGGATTTTGTGACAAAAGGGACTGATTCTGACTTTTGACTGTGTAATTGGTTTTGAGTTTGAAGGGCTAAAACTCTGTAATTTCTTGGCTATTTTAGGTTAGGTACTTTTTTGGGCAGGAGGATTTTGTGTAGTTTGTGTAATTGGTTTTGAGCTAGAACAGCTCAAACTGTGTAATTCGTTGTCTGTTTTGGCTTATGTACTTTGCTAAGCAGGTGCATTTTGTAATTGGAATTCTGTAATTGGTCTAACTGGTCTTCAGTTTCATCGGCTCAAACTCTGTAATTGGAATTTGAATGTTTATATGGATGTTCATTTTGTAAATTGCATGTGTGGTCAACAATGGAATGACTTTTACTTTCTTGTACTCAATGGAATGGCATCTCCCAGATATTCAAATAACCTCAATTCAAGAACATTTCAGAACACTAATGCACATTCAAGGGACACTAATGCACATTTCAGAACCATTACATTCAAAAGGAACAAACCCCATAACAATTACAACTTCCCACTCATCAGAAATGTTATAAACAAACCCCAAGAAAAAAATCAAGGAAACCCACATTATCAACTGTCTTTGCCCATGACCCCATTCCAAAACCTTTTTTTCCTGAACCATTTCTTTCAATTTCTGCTGCAGTTCTTTCTTTTTGCTTCCACAGCTCTCAATTGTTCTTCCTTTGCTCTACCTTCCTCCTCCATTGCTCTAAGTCTTCTAAGCAAACCAGGGACCACTTGTTTTCCTCTTGGACAAGTTTCATTATCCACCCACTCGAAATAATGCATACCTCTTCTGTTATTCTGGCAAATCAAATCTTACCAAATTTCAGACCTCATCAACCAATTACAAATGGAAAAGAACAACTTTTGCAACCCAAATAATAACTTACCCAATTTTTATCACAAGCATCAAACCTTCTTCCCGGGCTCAAATCTATCAACGAAGTCTGACGAATTATCTTCGTCCCACAGGCGCAGTACTGGCTCGTCCCACTTGATGTCGTTGACATCTCTGACGTTGAAATCTCTGACATTGCAAACCTAGGGTTCTAATTTGGGGGTTTTGGTGGAGCTTCTAACAGAAATGGGAGGGAATGCGATACTACAGTGCCCAAGTCGTTTTAGAAGAGGATACTCACCTAAAAATACGGTTTTGTCCATCGATTTAACGGAATAATACACAGACTTTGATGGAAGGAAGATTTTGGTACAATATAAAAAGTTTATGGTCGTTTGAGTTGAAAATTTTAGTTGATGGACCAAAATGATAATCTAGCGATAGTTGAGGGATCATTTAGGTCATTAACCCAAATAAAATTTTAAAAAAAGCTTCTAGAATTTTTTTCTCTCTCTCCTCCCTCTCTAGATCTGTTGTGTTCTCTTTGTCCTCTCTCGTCCCTCTCTATCACCCTCTTTCTCTCTCTCCTCCCTCTCTCTCTCTCTCTCTCCCTCTCTCTCTCTCTCTCTCTCTCTCTCTCTCTCTCTCTCTCTCTCTCTCTCTCTCTCTTGCACACCACCAAAATTGATTGGGTTTATGCCTCATATTTTTTCTTTTTCTTTTGTTAATTTCATTTTGGGAATTAGTTTATGATTTTCTTATTTTAATTTCAATTTTTTTTAGATCTTAAAAATAGTTTGGAATTCTATACCAAACAATTTTTTAGATCTTAAAATCACTATTTGAAAACTTATGTTTTTAAAAAGAATCACAGTTTTTAGTTTATTTTTTATTTTTTATTTTTGAATAGGATACCAAACAGGGCCTAAACTTTTGTTTTCTTTTTTCTACTTTTCTTTTCCTTTAATTCAAGCGTAGTTTGTAAGCAAACAAAAAAAAAAAACTCTTTTTGTTCTGAAAAAAAAACTTATGACATGTTTAGGATCTGTTTGGTATCTTATTTAGATCCAATTCTATAAATTGAAAAATAAATTTTAGAGACAATGCTTTTGTTGGAAACAACAATCAGTATCAAACTGGCTGTCCTTGAAGGATTCATAGACAAAGCTATAATCTTTCAACAACTTGGCTGCATATGGCATTACATAGAAAGTAACTTTCAACAACTTCATAATCATCCGATAAAGTTTTCTTGCAAGAAACCCTAACGAAGACGTGCCCCCCAGGGTGTAACATCAGCTTATCTTGTTCGAGATGAAGAATTCTTCATCAACACAAAGAGAGCTTTTCCATGTGGTCAGATCAAATGAAGGCCGCCCCTCCAAACACAAATGAACTATCTGCAGGACAAGATAGCTCTGATCAAAAGCTAATAGAAAGCATATAATAAGGATGTTAAGTTTATTGCTGTCGTTAAGTATCCCTTTAGTTAAAAACATGTGCCCCTTCCACTGCCTTCAAGGGACCTTAATTGTAAATTATTAGAAAGATTAAGATGGATGGTTCTGAACAACGGTCTAGTGCTTGTTAAAGAATACACGAGTCCCACATCGGAAACTTAATAAAATAGAAAGTCTCATAGAATAAATGGTTCCACTCCTAATAACATCGAGACCTTTTGTATCAAACCCCACACCTGCTAAATAGGTGGTTAAGTTGGGAACAATTTCGATGTTGCTAGTGGTGGGCCAAGGGTCCATCCTCAAATCTTAACGGTGCTAAGAATAACAAAGGTGCCAACTTTCAAATGTAAAAAAGCAAACTTTTCTTTTTTGATTTCACTAAGGTCAATTGGCAAACCTCCCCACAATCACCTGCAAGATCATGTGATGATGGTCAGTAACGAGTAATCTTGTAAGCTTCATAATACAAGGAACAGAGATTGTGAGAGAGTGGAGCAATACTTCGGAGAGATCTCAGTCCCATGTTTTCTGCTACAGCTTTCAATCTTTCTCAAAATCTTCAACTTCAACTCATCAGAGCATGCATTTGTTGAGTTTGTTGGAAGATGATAAGGTCATTCTACCTTAAAAGAGAACCCAATACGCTTTAGTTTTCTTCCATTAGCAGCAGTTACCTTGAAATCTCAAAATACACAATGCATGCCAAATTGGGTCAATTCCCATTGGGAATCTTGCGTAGAGAGTCCAGCGATACAACAAAGAAAACAATTCTAATGAAATGGAACTGTAGTTCTGAAGTGAAAGGCACGGTAAAGGATCAACAGAATTTTACCTTCACGTGTTTTCTCATACTTTTGGCCCTCATCAGATTTTGAAAAGCCAAGTCTAATAGCTATACAATGAGGATTTCAACTCGATTGCTTTCCACTTTCATGCATATCTCAGCTCAATAAGATACTCCTAAGTTCAAGACATTAAGAATTGGATCACTAGATTCATCTTAGAATATGAACAAACTAATTTCTCTAGTTAACCCCAACTCATGTAGCTTCTGAAAACTAATTTCCGACCAACAAGTATGTATACATTTTCATCCATCTCAAAATTAAATTCATAAATGACGTTTTCACCACATTGTCCAAATGCTGGTCTGTTGCTAGAGCGCCACCTGGAGAAGATTTCCTTCCCCTTTGTTTGCCACAATTTGTTTGTAGAAAAACAAAAATCTATATACAACAGTAAACTCTCATCGGGCAGTGACATGAAAGAAACCTGCAAATGAGAACTGTTTATGAGAAGGCATGTTATCGTGCAGAGTGACTAATAACTCAGAATTTGAGACTAGACAAACATAAGGACCCGTCCCAGTGAGAAACAAAGTGACAGAATTATCAGAATTTATCAAGTTTAATACCAATAAAATCAAATTTGCAATTCAAGGCAAGATTCTTTTTTACAGAAAAAGAAAATGCTAATGAACTATTGCTGTTGTTCCATTTTGAGCAAGTAACGTTTTAGAGTACTTCAGAAGTTAAAGGCGCAGAGAAAGAACACAGACAAGCCTTACCTTCATTTGTTTTCTCCCACTCTGTTACAGATCAAATTTTGAAAACCCTGCTTCCTCTAATAGCTTTTTAATATGGATGTTTACTTGAGTGCCTTCACTTCCCATGCATACCTCAGCTCAACAAGATGCTCCTAAATCCAAAGGAGAAATTAATTCTACTGGCTTTAATTAAATCTAATTATTGCAGCTCATAAAAATAAATCTAACAAATTATAATCCAATTATTGACAAGATAAACATGGAATAATGACAAGGGACCTACTTGATGCTCTGTGCCTGACTTTGACTTGAGAGTGAAATGTCGAAAAGCAAAAACTTTGTTCGATAACGAGCTCATATCATATGATCACTTCTTGGCATATGAAGATGCAAGGAATGTGAGATATCTTAGCCCAATCTTCTCCCCTATTATTCTCATACCTTTACTCCAGGGCAGAACAACTGGAGATGCTCAGAAAAGAAAGAGTCTTGTGGCAGGAATTGGAGACTCAGATATGTATCTGTTGAAGAGAAGTGAGTTCAAGGGACCGTGTGAATTCTCAAATTTCAGATGAATGGCATATTATTATGGTAACTACGAGATTGGTTTTTTCATTTTTTGGGGGTTGTTTGTGGGGTGGTTCGGAGCAACGGTCTAGTGCTAAGAATATAAAGGTGCCTACTTTCAAATATCAAAACCCAAACTTTTTTCTTTTTCGATTTCAACTCGATTGCTTTCCATTTTCATGCATATCTCAGCCCAACAGGATACTCCTAAGTTCAAGACATTAAGAATTGGATCGTTAGATTCATCTTAGAATATGAACAAACTAATTTCTCCAGTTAACCCAAACTTGTGTAGCTTCTGAAAACTAATTTCCAACCAACAAGTATGTACAAGAAAATAGATATGAAAGAGACTAGTTGATACGCTAAAAAGTTTCTTAACCTACCTGAAAAGTTTTGAATTGGAAATGAACAGGAGCTTGTCTCTAGTAACGAGAACAGACCTGGGCATCCATCATATATTTCTAATTCTTCAGAGATAAGTAGTCCATGTTACGAGTAGTAGTGGCCCTTTCATGATG